GTTTATGGACAGTTTGACATTTGACTATCTTCATATCATGTGATATTATTCTAGCAATATGATGGTTTATGGACAGTTTGACATTTGACTATCTTCATATCATGTGATGTTATTCTAGCAATATGATTGGTTCATGGAAAGTTTGACATTTGACTATCTTCATACCATGTGATATTTTTCTAGTAACATGATTGGTTCATTGACAGTCTTACATTATCACTATTATCAGGTGACTATCCCCTGAACAAAAAGTTTCAATCTGACAATATTTAGTAACAAATTATATTTATAACAAGTCATTGAAAATGACACAGTCCCCGTTAAATTTTTGAAAGTTCTCTTTGTGCTCGTCATATTAAAGCGGAGGGGTTGTCGCAAGCATGTCCTTGAAACTTGAGTTCCAAGTGGCGTATACAACACATTGTTTATTTACATCAAAACACGTGTTACGTGTAGTAGTAATATGGCCAAAAATAAAAACAGCCGTTATTCGGCCATCTTTGATCAGATTATGAAACACACTGATATGTATGATGTATGTGCCAAATACGAATGAAAATGGTACATAAATTGTGGAAATATAGTAGTAAGGCCAAAAAGTCAGATGCCTGTCAATTGGCCACCCTTGACCAGATTTTGAAACAAATTGTCATGGACATGCATCCTAACATGTATAAAGTACATATATGTGCCAAATTTAAATGAAAACTGACAGAGCACGTCCAAGATACCACATAAAAAAAAACAAGATGCCTGCCAGTCGACCATCTTTGATCCAATTGTGAAATAAATCATCATGAACATGTATCCTGACATGTATAATCTATGTACCAAGCTTGAATGACAACTGACAAAGCATGTCCAAAATACAACATTTTCAAAAAACAAGATGGCTGTCAGTGGGCCATTCTGAATCAAATCGCTAAACCACTGCATATGCATATGTCCCACATAAAGTACTGGGCACATGCAAAGAATGAATGTAATCGGTCTAAGGGATTCTGAGATATGACTCCGGACGGACGCATGGACGCACAGATGCACGGACGCAGACCGAATTATAAGTCCCCGTTTTCGGACTTCGTCCGAACAGGGACTAATAATGTACAATACATCCACGTTCATATATATGGATTTTTTCCCCTTGTTTATAAGGATATCTCTGTAAAGATATGGGGAACTCTGTTTGTGGTTCAACAAGTAGCCAAACATCATGACAGCTTTGAAGGTAAGTGAGACAAGTGCTGTATTTAATCTCTTTTTGTCACATCAAGCTTTTTATAAGTTTAATAAAACATACATTTCTCCATATTTAAATGAAACCATGCAAGATTAAAGAAAGTTCTCACAAACAAATACAGACATGAAGCTCACCTCTTGATCAATGAATTTACTGAACTTTTCCATTGTTCTTGCTATGAACACCACATCCATATCATTGCTAAAGGTATGTGCATCTGATGTCTGTGTTTCGAGTTCCTTAGCCAGTCTCAAAGCATTTGTACTGTTAATATTGCTCTGTGGATGAAAAATTCAAATTAATACTCAATACATGTACCTAGGCACTATTTTAGAATTACATACAGGTCATGTTGAAGTACCAATAGGCTAACCTCATCACCACCAGACTCTCTCAACCAAATTTGTCTGCACTTTTTTCTTAAATTCTGCATTATTTCTGGAAATGAACCATAATTTTGGACACAATTTAAGTCAATTTTTAGTTTTTACTCAAAAAATGTGGTTTTTTTACTTCTGAAGGAAAGAGCAGACTATAAATGGGACTCATTTGTGATGAAAAAAAGGAACTGGTGGTGAGAAGATTGAGGGTTTAGCTTACCAAGGATAAATCTTCTAACCATTTGGTATCAGTACTAAAATACTGACAATCAGATGTGTTTGGTACTTCCCAGTTACCATTTATGTTACACTGTCTGCTGGCTGAAGGTTTACCAGGTACACCTGTATATCCACTACCAGCACCTCTCGGACAAAGACGATATGATTTTATACCAGCAACTGTCAATGGCCATGATATAGTGCCTGAAAGTGAAATAACAATTATCAACAAATTTCTATTTAGCATTTCCGATGATAATAAATAAATGACAGAGAAAAGAAACAATAATCTCATAATCATGATTAATGATAAAGTACGCCCTCTATGTTATAAAATGTGCCCTCTATAGATCAATTACCTTTATTATCTGAGGTGCTCTCCTTTGGACAAAACTCAGCACTATCTTTTAAAACGATTATACTGACAGCACGCGAGTCATTTCCTCTTGACGTCCACACACGGCATTCCCATAAACCACCATTACTCATCACTAAGTTATGTACTATCAACTTGCTTGTTATTATGGACCTATCACGAGATATGTGTTCCTCTACTCCAATTCCTGCAGATGCGTTTTGTTTGACTTCTTTCAAGTCTTTAAACCATGACATTCTCGTAGACTCATCGAGGTAAGTTGCCATGCACGTCATTGGCAATGTGTCACCAAGAAACACAACTTGATTGTTAAGAGGTGACAAGTCAAACACGGGCAGCTCCAAAGGATAGTCTGAAAATTTGAAATACGAGTATTTTTATTATAAATGTCCTAAAGAATTAATATTTTATATTAAAGTTAAAATGTAGAAGGTTTGTACATGCTTCCTAATATCGTGTGCAAACATCATATTATGGAGAGCATTTGTCATGTTTGCAATAACAAGATAGTTGTGTACAACAACATCATGAATGTATACCGTAACATGACAAGATATTAGATTTAAAAGAGTTATTGTTTTCTATGAGTATGAGTTGGAATTTGGAATGGATCACGTGTTCAGAAACAGCCATTGTTTGAGGTGTGTTATTCTTGTATACAATATTCTGCGTGGATACCTTGAAGTAAATTGCGTAGAAGTTAATGCCAAGACAAGCATGTGCCCACCAACAAATATTAATAGTAAAATCCATAAATCGATGTTTGGGTTGCTTGTCAGATAGATTTAATGTATGGTGAGCTAGTTCAAGATGGATTCTGAATTATTGCTTTTAAAAGCTCTGTTTCCTTCAGTGTGTACTGTAACTTTTTTTTTGCTGACTGAATGAAAGCAATTTGGTTCATTTCCAAACTAATCTATAAGAGTGTGTGATATAAGATGATAATAACATCATATTAAAGCACTGAATGAAACACATATTGTAGTTTTTGACTCAAACAGCAGATAAATAAAATATCTGAAAGAGATCAATTTTCAATTTTTTAATTTTTCTGTTTGTAACTCAAATATTTCTTATTCACTTACCGCAATGAAGATCTCTTTTACGAAGTTCCCTTAATTTTTCCCCTTTTAAAGCTCTTGGATAGACACAGGTGGTTGTATCGGCTATATTGCGTTTGTTATTTTTAGTCCACTTAGGAATCCAGGCCATCAAACAATCACAGACAAGATAATCAGACTTGAAGTCACTGATGATAGAAATGAAACAAGAAGTTGAAAGAATGAGAATATTGAAAATAGCATTTTAAATTCACCTTAAATTCAACATAAAATTTTATTGACCACCATTTATTGAGATGATCTTGTGTGACCGTATTTGCTGTATTAAAAATGCAAATAAGTAGTAGAGAAAAAAGGGTTAAAATTAATATACACTCTGCTGTATACATTGTAGATTGACAGTTTAAAAAAGCATTTTTTTACCAAAAATATTCACTGAAATTAGAGAAAGGTATCGTCACAAAATGAACAAATCTGACTAAGGTCCACTCAAGGTGTCTACATATAAAATATCAAAGCAATTGGGCTTTTTCGTCTTTTTTAAGAAGATGTCAAAAATGCAAAGTTGGAAGATGACGGACAATTAGTAATATGAACAGCTCAGCTCTGTCAAGTCCACAGCGCAGCTAATAAAGAGAGCGATCATGAAGTTATTGTCATATGGAGAACACCCAAGGTACATATCAAATTACAAAACAATTGGGCTTGTAGTTTTTGAGAAGAAGTAAAACACACTAGATGTCAGCCACCTATAATGAACAGATGCTTTGTTATCTTCAAGCAGTTAATCAGACAGACCTGCACAGCACATGGGTGTCAGTTGTAGAGTTTTGATACATTTTATAAATGTCAAGGAGATGGCAGAAGCACCTACAACGGCAAGATGTCAACAAGCACTTGTACGAAATGACATTATAGCATTTCCAAGTTCAGTGTGAACCCCTGGGACCTTGGACCATTAATAAAATCATGCACAGGGAAATTCAATTCTTCTCTCAACATTATTAACAGATAAAATGTCATCATCCTCGTCTCCGGGGAAACAAACTCTCACTTGACTTCAGGATGAACTGTTTATGGGTCTGTACAATTTTTGCATCAGGTGAGTTTCTTATTCAGAATGACAATGTTAAACAAACTGATAACGAGCACATTTAAAAAGAATTATCCATATTAACAATTACATGTATATTTGAGTAAATGAGGACATCATCCTGTCATCCGTTCAGTACAGTCAACATTTTGTATTTCAATGATTTCTTTGAGGCTGATTGGATGCACCTTAGACTATACAAGCTTGAGATATGAGACAACCCCAAGACATTAATGTACATGTACATAGAGAATGGTGATATTAATTGACACAGACAGTATAATGGTTCAAACAATTCAAATTTGAGTTTAATTTAATAATCCTTCATTTATAGTCATGTATGCTCTACAGCATACAGGAATTTGAGAGACAATCTAACTATGATACACGGTCTATGTTTTCTAATGGTATCACAATACAAGTGGTTTTCTCTCAACGATACTTGTTTTATCACTGAACATTAAGTTCAAGTTCAACATTAACACAAAGCGAAAATTTACGACTATCACCATGTATATCCATGAGACTGCAAATCTTAAAACTGGTTTTATCACATTAACGACTCATGTTTTACTGGAAATTTTATAACCATGTTATAAGTTTAAATGTTGAACATTTATGAAGAGACCATCTCTAAATCACAAATTATAAATGATTCATCGCATACATCATGCACATCAAAGGCGACCATTTGATCAATTTTATTATTGTACATCCATGATAAAGTGATACAAGAACGTTTATTTGTGTCCTAATTGCCAATTTTTATTACACATACAGTCTAGCAGCATTAAAGGTTCAAGTATAAGTCACCTTTAATGTAAAATTTTATTGACCAACTTTTATTGAAATGATCTTGCATGGTGCATATACCGTATTTGCTCTATTTCATGTAGAATTGCATATAAATAAAAAATTGCATGTGTTGTATACTAAATATTTTAACAATAGGAACACACCTGTAATATACAAGCAACACTAATAAAGTAAATATGATAAATGTTTTTCCTCTTTCATATCAGACGTGATGAAATTGACAATCTAATATCTACTATACAATTCTAATTCAAACTTTTATACAAGAAAGCACTTTGAGGTCAAGTTCAGAGCATTAAAGTTCTTTAGGCTCTTACTGACCTATCTGACCTTCAGAAATGAAATGCTCGGTCTGACCCAAAAATAAAATATCATAGTAACCAGGCTAACCATTTTAAAGAAGTATAAAATACCCTTTTTTACCGAAAATGGCAAAAATATTCATCAAAATTGGAGATGTGAAGATATCTTAAACAAATGAACAAATCGTGCCATTTTCAAGAAGATGTCGAAAATGTAAAAGTTAACTCTGAGGGATAATCAGTAATATGAACAGCTCCGGTGTTAATAAAGAGAGTAATAATGAAATATAATGTCATGAAATGAACAACCAGAGGTCATCCAAAACAATTGGGCCTGTAGTCAAACATACTAGTTGATAGACAAACAACAATATTATACATAGTTCCAGTACCAGTATTGAAGTTCACCCAGTTGTCATGGTAACAGTAATTATCACTCGAATTGCAATTAGTTGTAGACATGCATTTGTTGTCATCTTGTAAATGTCATAAGGCTGTTTGTTTGCAGAGTGATGTTTTAAGGATTAGGAAAAAAAAAAACAATCTACACACTACAACTCAATTATCTAATTGCTGCTACATATCAACAAATAAGTAACATGACTCACACAATGTCTAAGTTCCTCAGGGAATTGAACGTGCCTTGAGGAATAGTAGCTATCTGGTTGTCGGAAAGATTTCTGAAAATAAGGAAAAACATGACAGTTATTATTATTCTGACAAGAAATCTTACACACGTGATACATTAATGTAGGATGCAAATGACACATTTAGGAAGAGACCACTAGACATGGTAACGTAGAAGTATGTTGAAGAAGTTGTGGTTGACATGAAACAGCTTGTTTTATCGCGTCATGTTGTGCAATCTTTCTTGGAACGATGATCACCACAATTTGTATGTCATTCACAAGATACAATTCCCACACAATTTAAATACTGTATTTGTTCTATTGGAAGCGCATCTCCACACAAGCCAAAATATGCACTGATTGTATACTTGATAACAATGACACTTACTTTGACCATAGTTTCACACCATGTCATTTACATAAACTACTAATAGAACAAGTACTAATAGAGCAAAAACAATTTTAAAATAGAAAATAATTTTGTTTAATCACTATTGGAAGCTACATCCCTAATAGAAGTCACACAGATTCTTTTTGAATAATTGAAAACCAAAAATTCATCATTTCTCATATGTGTAGGTGCTCTAATAGAAGCCACATACCCTCCATTGCATTGTACCATTTTAATAGAAGTCGCATTTTCTAATACAGATTTTACAGTAATTTCTATTTTGAAAATTCACCTAGTGCTTTGCATTGGTGACGTATACGATATATAGAGAAAGTTGCCTCAATGTGTCAGATAATAAATTAAGCATCACTTTATATTTGTCACATTCAGAATTAATAAATATAGCTGATCTCTATTGTAAAGTGATTGGCAAATGTCAATGGTTCAAGTACAAATAAATAGATGGAAGATGACCCCCCCCCCCCCCCTTCCAGCTCCCTGGATACAATCAACCTATTCTGGGCAAATATAATTTTTAAACAGTTTTGTGGAATTGTCAAGTATTATTCACTACAAAAGGAATTTTTTTAAAAACTTTTTCCCACTACTCCAAATATGCAAACTAGCAAAGGAAAATCAAATAATATGTAAAACAGACACAGTGTGGTGCTTTAGTTGACAGTTCTGAGAACAAGTCTTTCAAGCAGCTGAGGTGAAAATCGGACTTTTCACATAGAGAAGTAACTGCACACATACATTGTATGCATGCTCCTATATCTACAGTTCGGAAAACAGCCTATAGCCATGTAAAACAGCTGATTAGAAACATAAATCATACTTCTACCTACACCTCCACAGTGGACCACTCAACTATTTCTTAATGACAATGACTCCAAAAGGAAAGATGAGAGAGAAGTCAAAAGATGAGCAAATAGGTGAGCATGTAATGCATCAAATTTGGAAACATTAGAGACTGGAATGACCTGTGAAGTGATTTCCTGTCAATTTACACTCTAATAGCAACACACCAGTTAGATGCCATTGGCACAATCCATTAAGTAATAGGGGTGAAAACATGGTGAAGTTGGATGCCATTGGCACAACCCATTCAATAACAGGGGTGACAACATAGCAGAGTTGGGTGCCATTGGCATAACCCATTCAGTAACAGGGGTGACAACATAGCAGAGTTGGGTGCCTTTGGAACAGCTCATTCAGCAACAGAGAAACAATATGGTTTATTTACCTGTACATTTGGCCTTTCAATGGTCATACTGGGTCAAAAGTATAAGACTAGCATTACAGCAGTCCTACAACAATTTGTCACCACAATACATTCCAACTGTCCCCCTCCCAAATAAAATGGTACATTCCAATAGAGTCATACAGGTGATCCAACTATCATATGCTTTTCACATTGTGTTGCATTTCAAAAAGAGGATCTGAATCTTGTGTTAAAAAATCTAAATGAACTGAAATTTCTGGTGAATCAGTTTAACTAGATATTTATTTCCATTCTCAATATATAACATGAAACACCTTTGCTGCAACCAGTGAGTTGCTATTTATACCGAGAATAAATTCCTAACATTTTTCAAAATATCTAGGTTATAAGGTTTAATAACTGATTACTCTATCAACAGGTCAGCATAGGCCCCATAAAAGGATTATCACTACTTACAATCTTTCAAGGCGATCAAGTCCAGAAAACATGCTACTGTTGATACTACCAAGTCTATTACCAGATAAATCCCTACAGGTGAAAGCACATAAAATGTGGTTATTATCCAAAACAATGTAGTAAATATATATAATGTGGCATTTTGAAACAAATTTATTAGTACTGACCATCTGGTACATTATTTCTATCGCAGGGTACTTGACATATATGTGCAGAGAATCACGTACAGCGCATCAAAACATAATAAGCTGGATATTACGGATGACAACATACACGCTCATTTCACACATGTATCAACTTTCGCTTTATGTATCATCTTTATATCTCTCTATTATTACTGACCTTAGCAACAGTTGCCATGGTGAATTTGAAAATACATGTCTGTACTGTACTGTGTGTATTTTTTGAATGAATACAAATTTATATATTTATAAGATGTGTCATCTTGAATTTCAAAAAACAGATTGTAATAGCAAACGGATACGGCGACATTGTTTCCTCTCTAAGTACATATGCCATATTTGCTCCAACAGAAGCACATATAAACTGTAAATTACATTTGTTGTATATTGAATCATTAAAATGTTACTTATTTTGACAAATACAGTATAATACTTTCTGTAAAGCATAAAATGCAGGCAAAATGTGTATTTCACCAATCAAGACGATAATAAATCAGTTTTGAGGCCGAATTTACTAAATTGACATACTATATTTGCTGTATTTAAAAGAGTGCATCTTCAGTAGAGACACATGAAATGTTAGTGGAATTTTAAGCACACTAAATGTAAACTGAACCTAAGCATATATGTTTCTAACAGAATATGGTAAAGCTACTGTAAACTGATTTGCAAGAGACAAATTTACATGAGTCAGTGAATATTGCAAAATTTTGCAGCAGTGACAATTTCTCTGAAGTGTACAATGGTGCACAGGATAAAAGGACACACCAGTAATTTGCAGTGAAGAAGCTTAACAGTTTCATCAAGGGGGACAAGGGGGACAAACCCGTGTGTGACTATAGTCATGTTCAGGCTACACCAAGTACGGGATAAGATTAAATCTAATCTCATATATTTGCATATCGGCTAGACCCAATAGCATTCACGCATGTTAGAAAACAGTGGTTAGTACAGACTAAGGGCAATGTTGTTGGCCATTTGTTCGGATATACTGAGAATAATGCCATCAATATTTTCTAATAACAAGCAATAGTGATTCATCAAGAATGGCAAAATGCTCCTCAATAATGACACATCAATTGGAATTTACTAGCTTGCCTTTCTAAAAACTGGTTGCTATCGATATGTAAAACATTTGTTACATATGTTTGTTTTTTTTCTGTGACTTTTTTTCCTACATTCACTGAGTACTGACATTTACCAAAATTTGTCTTCACAAATGCCTTTAATAATCAAATCATGGAAATCACTAGCAGCAAAAATTAAATGGTTTACAATATTGAAGAAAGTGTTTACGGGTATGTCAAATGCCATTGTCATCTGGTCCAGTTTATGACCTGCCCCAGATTTGGATGGGTATCAAATAATTACGAAGCATGAGTAATTTCAAAATAAATTATGAACTTTTATACACTCATGGGAAATAAATGATAATGGTACTTTGACAGAATACCATAGAATACAAACAAACAAATGGATCAATTGCCAGAACTGGTGATATTTTGTATACAATTTAAGTATCCTTAGTGACAGATACAGAGTAGATCTAGTTGACTGGCACATGTTTCATAAACTGATAGGTATATTTTGACAAAAATACAGGACAAGAAGTATTTCTACTTGTAGTATCTTTCTTTCTATATTATTATTTTTTGGGATCCAACTTCCAGGGGAAATCAGCATATGAGGAATTTGACACAACGTATTAATATCACAGATACATGTAGAAGACTCGCATCAAAACAGTTGATCAAATGAAAATTGCCAAGTGCATTGGATTTAGACTTGATGTTAAAAGTTTTAAACTGACTTGTATGTTGCCTATATATTTACTATAGTCTGTTGTTACTATGTACAAATTTCTTCTCATCCTGGGCTAAAAGACTACCTTTAATGTCAGGACCTGGCATTATTGTTGCTATGTCAACGTCCATAAAGATGACAATCTGATTAAAATAAGATCTATTGTTTGACATTTTTTCTCTCTTGCCTTATGTTTTTGTTTATTGTGAAATCTACAATAAATCTCGCAGTCTAGCTTGCACAATACATATTTATTTTAACCAGATTGACCAGCTGTGAGATTAGTTTCTGTACAAATAAAAGATGACTTCTGCTTTATAAATTGATGCTATTTGTATAAATTAGCATAGATATATATTAGCATATATTTAATCAAATACAAAAAAACACTTGAGGGCAATAAAAGAGATCAACACTGAGAACAGATCTGTTTTTAACATTTAGCTTCATTCTTTTATATAGATGTATTGTCATTAAAAAAAAAACAGTTATCAAGTAATAATCTTACTGCCCTTGTTCCTAAAAAATAGATTTAATATAGTTTTTATGTTTCCATTGTGTTTTAAGTCTTTAAAGAAAATTAAAATGGCTATAAATTTTAGTTTATGGTTTCTATAGTATTTCATTTAGTGATGTTCGCCTCAGTAATTATGGAGAGCAATTAAATAAAACTAATATGAACAGTTAAATGATAATTAATGAGGTACATCCTTATCAATCAAATAAATAGGTGATTGATTGTTTGATGACTATTTCAAGTAGCAACAAGGGGCTTTTCAAAAATGTAATCAATTGACCACGATGTGAACAAATACACTCGAAAATATACCAAGGTAGAAACAGTGAAATCTCAAAAACAACCAAATAATATAAACAAGTTCTATGACAGTCATATGTGTATGAGTTGCCAAATGTGAAAATAATCCGATGTATTTCTTGTGAAATTATTGATTCAGAAACGTGGAAACCTTGAGTTTATAGTACTGGTAATAATAAAATGTAAGAACTCATTGTCAATTTACAAATACTGACCATATCACATTCATTTTCGCTAAAAAGACTTTTTGGGTATTTGTACGGAATTTATATTCACTGATTTTTAACGAGCTGAATGTAAACTATAGAAAACAAGCCATGCATGGCATAGTCCCTGTTAGTTATCAAATTTAAGATATATAGTTTTGTTTAGAGTAATATAGTTTGAACATAAACTGTGTCAGATATGGATCCAGAAGCTGCTCTGGAACAGCATTAATTATAACAAAATGATTTTGAATCGGATCATCAAACCAATACATCTGTGTATCTATGACATGATGTATAATGAATATATAAAATTTGAACATAATCAGTCATGTATGGCTCTAGAACTGCATTTATTAAAGCAAAATGGCCGCCAGTCAATCATTTTGAATCTTATCTGAAAAACAAAATGACATGCAGTAATGTCCTGTGTATGTACCAAGTTTGAACAAAATCCATCTGTAAACAGCCAAGATTCGATTGGGGGATGCCAGAAATGCTTGATTTTGATGATTTTTCAGCACAAAAATGGCCGTCATTCTGCCATCTTGAATCAAATCGTGAAACATATTTATGTGCATATGTATAATATTATGTATGGGCAGGGATCTCGCCATGGCGGTGGTCGGCCCCGACCGGCACTCAAAATTAGCGACCACCACGGAAATGCTTCCGACCAGGACTATTGTTCGATTGTTATTATAATTATGTACTGACTGACACGCATCCTGTCAGTCATGGATTATAATTTGTAAACAATAAACCTAGTCGCATGATACGTAGCGGCTAGTCAATTTTGTGAAATTAGCACCTCTTTGTTTGTAAGTAAATACTTTCTGTGATAAACACATTCTTTAGATTGAAAGCTAAAATTCTTTCAAAATCAATTTCACCCCGATATAACATGGTCAAAGCGCGTGTGGGTCAAAGCGGAGTTCACGATCTGACAGTTTACGCTACTCAAGAAAAAAATCAACGTGTTTATTGCGTGATTTGGTAAAATACATTTGAACTGGTATCATCGCGATTCATGTAAATACTCTTCTTTCAAGACCTATTTTACCTTTTAAAAATTGCTAATCACCTCTTTCGATAACCATCGTGCAGTTTTCAACTGAAATCGATGTCAACACATCGTGCTACGACATTGCTTTACTTCTGCAATGTAATTTTTCTGATCGCTACCATTCGGAAAACTTCGGATTCTATCGGCATTACCATGCGGCATTCTGATTGGTTAATGGAATTATTGACCCATCGGGTCAAAGGACACATGCCGATCAACTAATACGTCACAAACATCATGGCGGGCTGTGTTTTTTACCGAAGCGATCAAGTGATCAAAAATATCCACTCTTGATAAAACTAAGTCAAATTTCACTTTTATTTCTTATCAAAAAAAAACAAATTTTGCTTGGCATCATGACTGAGTAAGAGGAATTATTGGTATAATCGGTGTATAACATCACGAAGTAAGTTATGTCACGTCGTAACTTTGAAAGTTCGGAAGTTTTATTTGTTCGTTCATTACTGTGAATATATACGTTTTAGAAATTGATTGTACGAATAATAAATTACAACAATACTCCAAATAATTACGTGGTCGATTTTTTGAAAGAGAATGTATTTGGGGTAAATAAGATCGTGAAAATATTCCTGGCTGAAACGTTTCAAATGCGTTTTATTTAACTTTTTACAATAGACATTGATATTGCAACAATAATTTATTTGTTTCTGTTTTTTAGTCTGCAGCATTCGCATTTCGAATATATTTAATTTTTAAATTCAAACTCTTCTAAATTGTGAAACATAATGTCTTAATTCCAAAAATATTTGCGACTGCGACCGAACTCATTAATATTCATTGCTAATTAATATTCATATAGCTCATTAATATTCATGACCGACCGGCACTCACGTTGGGCTGGCGAGATCCCTGTATGTGTGAAGTTTGAATGTAATCGGTCCAGGCATGTCTAAGATATAGGTCCGGATGCACATACAGATGCACACACAGATGTCAATCCATACTTGTAAAACCCAGTTTTCGGACGGGTACTAAAAAGGTTGGGTTTTATTTTCTCTGAAACATTCCTTCCACAAAAATAATTCCAAATGAAAATAAAGTATTTTACATTAGTTTTGATGCCTCTTCTAGATAGTATAAGCAGCATTTTCAAATCAAACTCTACAAAGCTCTAGTGTGAATACAGAATATATGCAAGCATTGTTGTTTTATAAAAACATATCAAGGAAATGAAAATTCCCAACGGTCAGTAAAGTAGAAATGGCATTAGAGGTTAGGATTCTCAGTCAGCAAATGTTCAGCACCAATATTTTGCAAATTTGATCAAAATCTATTCTGAAGTTGTTTTTGAGATTTTGTTTATATACATGTAGGTTGAAATAAACAATATGTAAATAATATGCACTAGATGTCAAGGCTCCAAAACTAATCATGTCTGTGCTATGCTTTATCCGAAGGCACCTATGTTCCAAATTTAATCAAAATCTGCTCAGAAGTTTTTGAGATTTTATTTACACACACACACACACACACACACACATACAGACAGATACACACAGACAGACACACCACACAGGATTAAGGATGAGTCGTGTGAACAGTGCCCTCTAGTGGTTGAAATGATTTATGTTGAAATAGGAAAATGAAAACAATCATTATGTAAACAGTCTGAATGATATTGTTGTGCATTAAACCACACAAAATATATTTTTTTAATTTTGTTTTTTTAAATGTTGATCAAAGTGAGTTCAAACATGAAACGTAACAAAGAAATTATCAAAAAATACATATTACATGTAAAAATATTGCTGCAAAACATTGGTAGGTCAAACATCATGGTGTTCAAAAGTTGACAGCATAAAATACAAAAATAATGACTCACAATTTCTTGAGTGAATTGAGTCCTTCAAATGCACCAGGCTGTATAATGCTGATACGGTTATAAGACAAGTCTCTGAAAACACAAAAGAAGAGATAGTCGTTTGTTAGTCATCGTCTTCTAGTATTACGATTCAAGCACCTGAAGACGGGAGAATTATGCATGACGCATGAGAATGATTCATTGAAGTCTTCGGGATACACTTGTATAGTCGTAATGAGACATTGATATACTGATGATCAAACAGAGCTAGCATGTTTATCCCCTAAATATTGTTTTTTTTTTGACATTAATGTTTTATTATTTTCATTTTTAGGGATATTTCAGATCATATCAGAATTTACAGAAAAAATATGTGAAAGAATAATAAAAATAAGTGAAATTAACAAATAAATTCAATATAAATCATTTACATTTTAAGAAAAGTGTAACTGTGTATGCAATTTAGCGAAGGATAAAACATTGTGAGATCTGCTGGGAGTGCAATCATATCCTATGACACACATGTGGGAATATAATGCACATTATTTTACTTTTTAAGCAGTGGCAAGGTAACCCATCACCATCATAGGGTCAGTTTTCCTAGAACATATACATGTAATATACATGCATATATCAAGTTACCAATGCATCATCAAATTTTAATAAAAGAATAAAAATTCAGTTTAAAAAATTTTGAAAGCTGAGAGCAAACAAATCTGTTTGCGCACAAAATCTAAATTAAGAATTTTTTTTTTTATAATAATTGTTTGGAAGAAAAATTGATGTATATATATATTGAGTCATAATGGAATGATGTAATCATTACCCATCATGCATCACACGATAAATTACCCAAAATGCTCCAGTGCTAGCGCATGTATAGCATTATATTACAGCCCTCAAAATTCCTTGTTGAAGCCCCCACCCCCTTTTTCTCGTAATACATGTGTGGATACACTAGCTAGCTCATTGTTGTATAGGGTTCAGAACAGCAAGAGTAACCATGACAATAAGCTAAGCAGAGATCGGCTCATTATGTACTTCACATCTACTTATTCATTAACACCAAAGTATTATGATCACCAGATACAGTATATATTATTGAGATTGCAAAATGCAAATAATGAAGCCTAACAAATATGAGAATACAGACAAACTACTTGGGTATTTCAGTTTTAATATTTATTTCTTAAAATTCAAGATGGCTGCCATGGAAACCAAACAACTTGGTCTAAAACATGATATTAATAATTACAATAGTTATATTATTATGCACTTAGTAATAGTGATAATTTATCATGGTGACTGACTTCAACTGTGGGAAAAATATATTTTCTTAAAGTAGAATCCTGAAAATTGTTGATATTATGGGTATAGCCAAAATGAACTGATTCAAACAGAGCTACTTTGATGATGATGACAGGAGAGAATACAGACAAAGAAGACATAGTAATGATGATATTTGAATGTCATCATTCTGCCATCAGTTATGAGATTGGATCTATCAATACAGTCCATGTCATCCATGACAGCTGCTTAGGGAGCAAGGCGTCAATATTGTCTTTACTTCCAGACACATACATTGTAAGAGTAAAACAAATCAATGTGTTCACTCTGGAAGGAATCACACATTGATAGCTATTTAAATACCACATCATTCTGCCACAGCCATAATCAACCTCATATTAAACCGCAATATTGATGAACGTTGTTTATTGAAAATTTTACGGCACTCAAAAACAACCTCAAGTGTTTTATATATTGTCAGGAAAAGAATCTCTGATGTGTGTTAGATCAATAAATTGTTCACTAGCGAAATAAAACACACACACCTTCTTTCATTGGTGGTTTAATTTATGGATCACTTAACCTCCTACATGTTGTATTGCAAAAAAAAAGTTGTTATATACTCCTTTCCTTTTTTTCCTCTTTCAACAATACCTATACTCTATACTGAGTAACTGAACATAATGTTTGTTTTCCAGTGAAGGAATCTACTGAAGGAATTTTGAAGACACAATGGGGAACCAGATCTAGTCTACAACTGTACAGAGGAATCCAGAGTGATGTCATACGACGATTGATGTATATGACCATATTTGTAGCTGTCAAGGAATACATCCAGACATATAAATGTACATCTTCTAAACATAATTTAAATTACTGTAATGTTTATGCAACCTTACTGCTGGCTGCTCTACATACATAAAGTCATGTATTTGTGTACAATCCCTCTATCATGCAAGACATGGTTTATTGTCAGAGGGTACATCCATTATATGTTTGTGTACAGTCCTTCTATCATGCAATGCAATGAACATTGTTAGTGTGTAAGTCGTTGTGAAAGTACGTGGTCGGTCCCTCTATCATGCAAGGCATAGTTTATTGTCAGAGGGTACGTCCATGTATATGTTTGTGTACGGCCCCTCTATTATGCAATGCAATGTGAACATTGTTAGTGCTTACGCCCATGTGAAAGTATGTGTTCGGTTCCTCTATTATGCAATGCACAGTTCATTGTCAGAGGGTACGTCCATGTATATGTTTGTGGTCGACCCCTCTATTATGCAATGCAATGAACATTGTTAGTGGATACGCCCATATAAAAGTTTGTGTTTCCTCTATTGCATGGTTCACTGTCAGTATGTTTATAAGTTCATTACAGTCCCTATATCATAAACCAAGTTTTGTGGGAGATATATTTTCACAAATTTTGAGAGTCTGGAAAATCCCAATGAGTGACTTTTGTGAAATGTCTCAAGAATATATACTTTTCAATCATCAAATCATGACAATTTAACAACTGGCATCTGCAGTATTAAAGTGCCTGTGCAATGCCCACCCCCACGTTTCCCATTTTAGATCTGTGTCCCACTGAAATGGGCAGTTATTGATTTTTTTGCGGAAAATGATTACTCGTATCCAAGTAAATTTGGGATATTTCTCGTGTTGTAGCCACGCCCACCTATCCTGAAATGGTCAACTGTTTCCGGATTTCCGACTCTCGCCGGAAGTGCGCCACCAAATGCCAAAATGTGAGAGGAAGTCATACCCCTGAGCCGTAATAACACTGGTCGGCGTTTTTTTTTCTTTTTTTTTTTGTATATTTTCTTTCTTTTTTTGAGAGAGAGTTTTTAGATGTTGTGTTGTGGGCAGTTGCAGTGAAACGTATAGTCATAGTGTAAGTATTCACACGTTTCTAATCGATCCGAAGGTGCGACATCAGTGGACGAAAGCCACTTAACCTCAGATTCCAATTTTTTGGAAAAACTTTCCTCGTCCATGAAAAAAACATCTAGGTTTAAAGAGAAACGCCGACAACATAAACTTGGCGCAACACTTTTGAAAGAAATAGATTCCGGACCATGATCACCGAGGCGGATTTCAGAAGAGAGAGAGACGTCCGGCAAGTGTTTCAAATGAGTTGACTTTTTTTGCGATCCTAATTATCGTTTTATAGAGACCATTTAGTTCCTGTTAAGTAAAAGGTAGCAATAATTTTGACAGTGACACGAAAACGAAGCATCGGACAAATAGGAAATTACACAGCCCTTACACACTGCTAATTGTTTTCATTTTCGAAGGCTAAAAGTTTCTGAATTGTTTGGTGATTGGTGTTGAATGTCGAATTCACACCTCTGTTCTTTTTTTACATCCATGCTTGCAGCTTGATCTGCGTAATAATTTATGAAATATTAGAATCCGGGCTTGGTCAATGTGTTTCCACTAAATAAAGTTTTAATATGATGTTATAATTATGACAATCATGCCATGGATCACGCTAACTCGAATCCACTCTGAATTTATCTGTATGTGTGTCGATCTCGATTATTTTTGTTATCCAATTAAACGCCGCTTTTAACGCACTTGCCCTCGTCGCAAATAAGAAGCTAATGAGGAGCCTCGTTTTAAAATACACAAGAATAAAGTTGCCGTAGATGAGTTTAAAACACATTTTTTCACTTAAAAAAATAATTCATGCTTAGAAACATAAAAATTAATAATATTTATGTATCAATGGATAATTTTAGGCATAAAAATAGCAGCCATTTCACAGGCACTTTAAGTGCTGAATGATAAAATTAGCAAAAACAAACTTTTTTCACTTCAATTTAACATTCTGATGAAAATAGCGAAAATAAAGTGTTTGTAAAAATCAACTCAAATATCAAAAGCTTCTAGAAATACATTACATAGAGAAAAGATTGTCTTACAAGCAAAGTATGAAAACAACAAAATGTCAGGGGGCTGTACAAAACAACTGAGCACCAGGTACAAAATTTCAAACATTGAGAATTGGATATTCATTTTGCTACAGAGAATTCAGGAGACAATAAATTCCAAACAAATAAACAAGCACTGAGCAGCAGTCTGCAATTATGGAAAAACCGTTTCAACTTTAAATGCATGATGCCATTAATAATACAAACGGAGTCCTTGGATGCTGACATGTTTATTTTAATTTCCATGGTATTTTAACCGTTATTAAAACAATTTTCACCAGACGCTATATCATATTGTGTAATAAAAACAAGCAATAAAATAAGACATTAAATTTATGGATATTGTATTGTCTACTATGATACAGATATATCATAACTGCTATGGAAAACCTTGTCCAACTGATAATCACTTTATACAAAACAACTTAATAGTGTCTAATGCTCAATAAATGTTATCATACCATAAATTCAACATGCTTGCCAACCTGATGTGCATACTGTACACATAACATAACATACGACTGAATTGTTGGATATAAATTGTTTTCCGTCTGAATACAGTGCATCACAAAATATTGTCAATAAATTATAATAAAATTTATGTATATTATTGATAGTTTATAGAATTTATTTCAATTCATAACATTTACATATTTCATTATTTTTTTTTTTAATTTATCCCACCAAATTATTAAATTTAAAAAGTGATAACGCTATTTGAATACAAGTAATTTTAATATCCATTATGTTGAATGAGTGCTGATAGTAGGTGTTTTTTTTTTATCCATTAATTTTTTGACAGGCATATCCACTTCGATTTCCCAAAGTATTAAATATTCATCATTTGAGATACTTTGCTAAGGTAAATTA